GAGAGGGAAAGAGGGAGAGGAAGGAGAGGGAGAGAGAGGGGGAGGGGGAAAGAGGGAGAGGAAGGAGAGGGGGGAGAGAGGGGGAAAGAGGGAGAGGAAGGAGAGAGAGAGAGAGAATCACAAATATTGGGTCTTCCCTAGGTATCGGACTAAATGATTGGTTTATTATTCATATCAAATTAAAAGATTTAAACTTCTAACAAATCTTTTATGACAATACATGAATAAAAAAACAATTATTGTCATAATGTTTTAATGTGAATTTGGTAGGTAATAGTTATGAACATGTCAGTTCAAAGTTGGTCGTTAATAAACAATAGTCATGGAAATGAGTATTTGAATTCATCAACTACTGTCTTAAAATAGAAAAAATAATCTTGATGTTGGGGTAAATTAAGTGTGCTGTTGTAAGTTGATGCCTTTAAGATATACTGTAGTAAGAAAAGACAAAACTATTTTTATAACAATCATTAAAGTAAAAGAAAGCAAGAAAGAATTTTAGTGATAAAATTGTTTTATATCAAGTTTTGGAGGGTAACGGTTCAGAAAAGAATAAATAAAAAATATATATTCTTGAGATAATAAATCTTCTAATATGAATCAAGAAACTAATCTTCACTCACTATTATTTACTTCACTCTTCTTATACACTCACTATTATTTACAATTAGTTATTCAATTAGTTGCATGTCAAAAAATGAAAAACAATTAATTTTTTTGTGAACAAAGGAAAATTCAACTTGACATAGGCTTGCTTTGAACAATTTAACTTTTAATATATCATTTAGAGGGGTTAAATGAGATGATAATAAATTCGATATAAATTAGTTCACAAATATTAGCAATGTCCAATTATACAGCACTAAAATTGAACAACGTTCTTTCCTTATATCAGAATTAAGTGTTCCTAACGGCATATGAGTAAAATGAATTGAAACTGCAGTATTAATTAGTAATAAAGTTGAATGGAAGATTTCTTCTTCTCTAAAAATTACTGTTCAACAATCATATTAACATTCTCCAATTAAGTTAGAATACACTTCTTTTTTTAATATATTTATTTTGTACCTATTTCATCATAAAAATTTCCACGTATTTTAACTTTGCTTACAATAATTATATATAGCAAGGCATCAGCATATAATCTGAAGGTAAATAATATTACCCACAATTTAAAAGAATAACTTACTAACTATATTTGAATAAATACATTCTCTTTAAAAAAAGAAGTGAATTGAAAAGGGGGAAATAATTATTTAAATTAAAGAGGATGGGAAATGTTCTTAAGGAAACACTAACGTATTTGAGGATTTGGAAAATAATTTTCTTCTAAAGCAAAACTTTTAGATGCATGTGAAATAAGTAAATTATAAAAGTTGTTTGTGAGATGAATAAAGGATTTAAAAGAATCAATTTAAAGTTCTCTAGTATTATTGGGATCCTTATTTTATTATTTGGATTTACAGCCAAATTTTTAAAATTTTCTTGATTGTTCCTCATTGAAAAATAAAAAAGGGTTATAAATGCATTTCTGAAAGTGTTTTAAGTCATAAACTTACTGAACACATAGTTTATTTATTTCACTGAAGACACATCTTTTTCTCATGATATTCTTCTGATTTCATTTTTAAACTGTACTCTTTCTGGGATCATTTATCTATCCTTAACCTGCACAAGCACTTTTGGTCATTAATTTAATTTTTTTAAAATGAACATTGCTTTCAAAAAAACTGTAATTCGATAACAATTTGTTCATCAATATGAGTCCACTAACTACCAGCGCAACCACACAATTCAGGAAAAAATGCGAAATATCCTGTTCAAACGTAACGTGAAGTTCCCGCTAAGTCCCTACAGAAGCATCAAAGAATAAAGTAAATACGATGGTGTCTGAAGCAATATTGCCAAGCACTGATTCCATATTTAACAAGGACTAGTTAAGCTACGGTTTAGCAGCCTTTATTGGTAAAAATTTACTCCATTCTTATTCTGAACTTATGCTGGTTATAACAAAGTTAGACCAAGCTCTTATTAGTAAGACTGCAAGTATTTTTCATTTCAGTAGTCAGATTTATTAACTTCCAGCCATATACTCGCTCTATCTTATCTTTTTAATCAATTGATGACATGGGGAAGGGAAAGTGTTAATAAATGAAATAACTTAAAACAGCTCCCAGAATCCCTTGCCACTATTTTAACTAAAAATAGTTTATGGACGAGTAAAAGTTAAAGATAATTAAATCAAAATAAAATTTTAAAATGTGAGATTAACATTTGAAAAACTAGATTTTTGTTTCCGAGCTATATTGAACCTATATGCAACAGTAAACTAACTGCAGGTTATTGCGCAAAGTGAAGCTACATTTACGTCCAGGAAAAAAAAAAAAAAAAAAGGTCCATCTCAGCATTTGGTCAATGGATCAGGGAAACTGGACAAAAACCTGATGAAGACAGGGGTCATTGACCCAGAAGCTGAAGTACATTAATTGTTACAAGCAGATAAAGTCTTTTTTAAAAAGAATTAAACAAAACAAATGTAAACTAATTCATTAAATATCACTGTCTTGTCGTGGAAATACCCACTTTCACATCTAGTTGTGGAACCCTCAAATTTCTTGCTACATAATGTAAATTTGCTATTGTTATAGGCACTATTCAAAACAATTTTAAATTTTTTTTAGTTATGATTTACAAATATGTCAATATCTTTAAAATGAAATCCATACAATTTTGGTTTTTGATATTTCATACATCCTGCGATTACACCTATAATAAAATCAGCTACGCAACAGCAAAAACTTTACTAGAGAAGTAAACACACGTATTGAGGAGTTCATAAACCTGTCAACTTAAGAATTATAACAGTATCAAAAAGATCTAAGAGGATTTTTTGGTGTAGACCTGTTGAGTACTCTTAAGCTCTATTACTTACATTTAATGCCGTATGCCACATACTTTCCACCCATATGAACAGCAAGAAGCTGCCCTGTATAAAAGCGATGTTCCCAGCTGAAGTCTACAATATTTCTCAGTTTGACTTTTGAACTTCCCGATTCATGCTCTCCAGAACTGGGAACTAATTTAACATCATGACTAACAACTTCCTTACAATTTTCATCATCTTGACCAGAGAAATGACTGAAAGAAAATATTTTCATTGTAATTATATTCAACAAGACTCATCTAGCTCAAATTAATGCATTTCTTTTTCTAAACACACTTACATAATTTGTGGATACCCAGTTTTGGCACTTTTTGTCACTGACATTGTATGTTGTTCCTGAAATCACCAAGGAAAGTACTTTACGCTTTAAAGAAAAGTTTGTATGTTCAAGATAATACACACATTCTGCACACACACACACACACATTACCATTTTTATTATGTATAATTTTGAAAATTTACACAAATTACAATTATAAAAAACGTGGGATTACGTAGTCATAGTTTCGTTTTCTTAATTACTTCTTCACCTATTTGTCAGTGTCGATAAAAGCCAATTTACTTAACAAACTTTGAGATATTTTCCTGAAACATTAAGCAGGTTGCAAAATTGCATTTCACGATTACACTTTACAAAGTAATTATAATTGAAATAGTCACAATGTGCTCTTCACGTTTAGCTTACTCAGTCGTCTTACATATCAATGATTGTGAGATATCAAAAGAAAAATCTGAAACAATCTAATTGAATCTAACCTCCAAACAACCTGGACCTGTCGAAAGCGCAAAGGCGGCACCAGGCGGCACATTTACAGTGTTGCCAGGAACTATTCCTGGTACCAACTTCTCAAATTCCTGGTACATATGCTTGTGGAAATTGTTTAGTACTTTGTAGGTAATGTTTTTTAAATATATTTTGGTTACATTTACTATGAAATAATAAATACGATACAACTATAATACAAACAGGAAAATTTTAACTTGTTATGATACTTAGCACTTTTAATTATTCATAATTACGGTTTCTAGAAATACCAGTAATCACTTCAATTTCATGTAAATATGTTTCTGATTTTAATTTTTAGACGCTTATAAATTTTAGTCGATGACGTTTGGAATTCTCTGGAACTGCATTCTTTACTTAAAGTTACTGTCAGGGTGTAGTTCCAATTATGATATTCAAAATATAATGATATCCTTCCATACCGACATTCTGAAATAAGGCTGTCATGTTTAGTAATGTGATTAAATCATTGTAAAGTCATATCTGTGTATACTTTACAAAATAATTTCCCAAACTGGTGCGAAAATGTTCCAGGTGAAAGATTTTCACAGAACAGTATGCAAGGTGGAATCGCGGCGTTGCCTTCTTTACAACCCTCGAGTTGTCATGAAATAGATTAATGGAATGCAAATAAAAGGGGAAAGCGACTTAATATATTTTCGTTTTATCGTAGATACACCTTTCATACAAAATGGCATTCAATATGAAACTTATTATCAAACAACAATAATAGAACACGATAAAAATGATATGCTTCGATAGGGTTCACTCATGGCCACAACCTGGCTACCACCTTCACCCGAAGGTGGCAAAGGCTAAAATGAAGTTAATAAACACATACAAACATTCCAGTTCCCCACATACAATAAGCCTTTCTAAAATTCTCAAAACTCCTTAATGGCCACCATCAGAAGCGGATTTTCACTCACGCAGTTGCCTAAGGCGGCTGAATTTTCATGAAAATATTACAAAATTTTAAAATTAAAATAGCTCAAAATATAGTAAATTGAAATCTGAATCTCAATTACTTTATCTTTATCACGGTGACGGCGAAAGAATGGCGGCGGTGGCGACAGCAGTTTCATTACCACACGATAAAATGAAAACATTATCAAAACTTATGAATTGAAAAATACTTTTTTTATTACCGCGCCAAATTAATACGTGATCTGATCCAGTGATCACCAGTGTTGCCAAAGGTATGGTAATTCTGCAATAATTAGCGGTGGTAATTGAGCTTTAGATATATTTTCCCTGCTTTTAAATTATTAACTGATCAAAAAATTTGCACTACAGAAAGTAGAAAACTTTTGTGATGACTAGAATGACGTCACAGCGTTTGGCGGGAAAACGTTGAGTGGCAATTTTGTGGCGCGTAAGCGTAGAGAATTAGTACGTTTTTGGCAGTATTTTGCATTTGCCGAGGTTTCTTTCCTTATCACATTTATTATTTACAATAATATTTGCTTTCCTATGATTTATTTAGGTCCTGGCTGCGCATCTCATCCACAAATTTGATTAAAAGAAGCACTATTCTATCAGGCATTACTAACTTTTCAATTTCAAAATGATTCGAAGTAAATATTATCATGATCTTAACTATGATGTTTAAATGCTACTTTTTATTAAATGATATCTAGGAAACTTTTGGATCAACGTGCCGTTTTATCAGATATGAAAAGTGCCAAAGGGATAACGGCCTCTGTGCTGTTCAGGTAGAAGTGATTCGTTTCACACATTTTTATAAGCTGTAGGCTTTTTAAATGTTATTTCAGAAAATGTAATAATTATTGTCATTAGAAGAAATATTATCTACATTAAACTTAAATAATCGATCGGAAAAATATAGAATGTGGCAGAAGTAAATTAGTCTTGAAGATCGACAAAAGTTTAGTGGTTCATACATATGATGCCGCGTTTGTTCAACGCGTTCACTCTGCATGTAAATGAGTTTACTTGTTGCGAGTTATTTCCTTTTCAGTGGGTGGTTTATACTGCTAGAACAATTTGGAAAATTACACGTTTTGAGGTCGAACATCTGAAAATGGCAAGAAAATTTCTACACGTTTCAATTGCAAATTACAATGATGGTGGAACCTGTAGGTTTGTTCCAGCAAACAGTCACGGACTGTTTTACGTACTCTCACTCTGCGCATGCGCGAGTGCAAACTAGTCAGAAACGAGTCCCGGATTGGGATCTGCTGGAAGAAGTAGGTACAAAAATCAGTCTCTAAGCGCCGCTGCTTTCGTTTTATCGGTAGCTGCAGAATTCTCCGCTTGATATCATTTTCGTATCGCATGTAAAAATCAAAGCGACCTGACCCGTTAGTTCGTGGTATTCCTATGGTATTCACTTGCGCTTTACGTATCTCCATAATTGCTCGCTTATTTTCTTGACCTCGCTATCAATTACAGATTTTGAACCTGGTAAACTGTGACTTGCACTATTGTTTTTATTCTTTTGGTTTTCGGTTAATTGTATTTTTCTTAAAAATGAGAGATAACGCTACCAATACAGAACGGTAAATAACTACATACATATTTAGTGAGACACGGTACAAGGGACTTCCTTAAAATTACTTACCTTCCATCCCCCCCCCCAAAAACAAATATCAAGTTCCAATATCCACAAGAAGATCCGAAAGATAGCTAACTCACTAAAATCCAAGAATCTAGATTTAGATTGATTTAGTCACGAAAAAAAGTAAAAAAATTGTATATGTGACGTATGGGGGAGAAGATGATCAGCGCATGTTTTCTTGAGTTCCAGAATCCTTTCCCATCGTTTTAACTCTAAATAAATAAAAATAAATTTTAAAGAAACACGGGATTCGTAATAATTGAAAAAAAAACAACTATAAAATCAATGAAACGTAAAATAAAGCAGGGTCAAATTCCAATATCCACAAGAAAAATCCGAAAGAAAGCGAAATCACCAAAAACCAAAAATCAGTAAAATGTAAAGCAATGCAGGGTCAAAATGTATAGAGCTGAATATAAAACAACTATGCAGAAACCTGATGGAAACGTAAATGGCGCATCGTCGAAGTTTGGCGTACTCGGGGACCGAAGTATGCAAGCGCGGATTTCTACTTTGGGGGAGAGTGCACGAACTGATTCGGAATGGTTTCAAACTAATCAGCAACCCTGCTGGAACGCCCAACTCCCAGTCACAATCCCTTATTGCTGCTGCTGAAACGCCCAATACTAGACTGCGGATGCGCGGACTAGATCAGGACAGTTTCGGACTGCTGCTGGACCTTGTATGTGGACACTATAGATTTGAAATCAATCTGAAAAGAAAAATGCAGACATTAACGCCATCTGTGTACGTTTCTTAGAACGTTTTGAACTAAGAACTGGTTGTGTTGTTGTGTCCAAAGAGTATATTTCTCTGTCGAGTTTGGGCGTGTTCGAGCTTGCTTGTTCATGAATACTTTTACTTTGTATATTCAAAATGAGTAATAAAGTAACATTTATACAAAGAAATTAATAGGTTATGGACTCATGCCACGTGAGAATCGTATTCTCTAGTAACTGGATCTGAAATTAATCGACCATGCTTTTATGTGTCTAAATTGGAACTTTGTATGTAAACAACAAACATGGCTACCGGGAGTGACTACAAAATACTACCAAACAGGAATTTTTGATTGAAAAAAGTGCGCCATTGAATTGCGTAATGTCGAAAGACTGCGTTTGATGCACGCGGTGATCCTAATAGAAAGCCTTGTCATGAAAGTGACTCCGGGAAAAAATGAAAGAAGAATGTTCAACGCGCAAAACAGCAGATCTCCTGCCACAGATGTAAGCAGTTGGGTCAGTGGGCAGCAGAGTGTTCGGAGAAGAAGACAGATGGCGCTGCTGGAAACAAAAGCCAGTCTGATGCAAGTGTGGCGTTTATGACGCATGTCATGGGTGCATCAGTCGAACTCTTTATTGAAAACAAGTGGTTCAACGACATTGGCACCACATATCACGTCTCCTCGAATAAACAGTATTTTACATGGTATGAAGTTTGCCGTTCCTGAAAAGATTTCGCTCGGGAAACAATATGTAAATATGCTGGCTCATGGACAAGGAAGTGTGAACAGTTAAGTAGCCTGAATAATGCTTAGTGAAATGTACTGAAAAGCGTTTTGTATGTTCCTGAAGCAAGTGCTCATTTATTGTGAAAGCAGCTGCGAAAAAGGATTTTTCTACGAGACTTGATGAACGAAGCGTTTGTATTGAAGATCGTGTCACTGGAAATCGGAAGATGACAGGTTATGTTAGTCATGGACTGAATATTGATCATGGACTATGTATTGAATCATGGTCATGTATCAGGAATCATGGACTATGTATTGAAATGCGGATCGTCGACTCTTGTACCACAAACATCTGACGTTTCATCGTGAATGATATTCTTCGTACGAAAAATTTACATCACCGGTGAAGATCCACATCAAGGACAAATAATTCATGACTGCTGAAGGATGCGGAATACTTTTTGAAGCAGAGGTCAATGGTGAGTGGTTGTCATGTCATATGGAAAACGTTCTGTATGCACCTAGTGCTCAGAGAATTTTTTTCTGTTACATTTGCTCTGGACAACGGCTTGTCGTTCAATTAATCAATGTCATACGGCGAGTTTCGAAAGATTGCATCGTCACGGCACAAGGTATTAGGTATGGGAATTGTTCTGGATGGCAATACGACTCTTGTACCACAAGCAAGTACCTACACGGATGTTTCTCTACTGCATCTGACTGTACTTGCTATATATTTACTCTATTTTTACTAGTGCGTGGTCGAAGGTTGTAATGTTTCCCAGTAGTGACAGGACGCGAGGAAATTGGGGCATAAGGTGTACGTGAATTGGTAGTGGGAATGGGAGAAACGGGAGTAGGGTCAGAGGAGGTAAGAGGGTTCGAAATAAGGGTGGGGGTGGATAACGCAAGGAAGATGAAAGGAATGGATTTTGGGCAGGAGACTGCGTGGACTGGAGTTGATGTGTTGTGCAATCTTGTTGCCGACTGTGTTTTCCAGCAAGGTTCACGTGAAAACCATTCCGGGTGAAGCGTTTTGCAGAGAGGAATTTCATTTAAAAGTTTAACATTTGTTTCTCGTAGTTACAGTTATAATTGTTAGATTGCGTGCTTAATTTGCGTGTTCTCTGTTACATTTGCTCTGGACAACGACTTGTCGTTCAATTAATCAATGTCATACAGCAAGTTTCCAAAGATTGCATTGTCACGGCACAATTATTAGGTATGGGAATTGTTCTGAATGGCAATACAAGTGCAGGTACCTGCGCCTGCACGGGACGAAGCCAATACAACAGTCAAGGAGTGACACCGATTATCACGAGCGGCTGGGGCACCAGAATGAACGTCATGTTCTGAAGATTTTGTAGCTGAATGATTTTGAATTCAGCAAGAGAGACGAATTATGCAAAGCATGTGAAGGCAAGCGGCGTAGGGAGACTTTCCACTCAAGCAACTGATTGTGCGGAGGTTATGCATGCTGATCTATACGACCCGATGGAAGCGGCTTCACTCGGAGGGATTAAGTACTTCGTCTGCTTCACGTGTGCTCGTTCCTGAATGCGTCATTTACTTGTTGAATTGTGAAGCCGACGCAACAAGTTCAAGTGAATATGGTGCGATCACAGACATTGCAAGTTTACTATGAAAGGTTTGGCCATCATCATAAACAAGATGTGAAGATAGGTCTGAATCAGATGAACATCATCGTGGTCGAGGGCTAAGGAGAAGTTTGCGATGGAAGTGCATGGGGAAAAATTATGGATTGCCGTTCAAGAAACGGATGAATCGACTGGTGGTAATTGGTGAGCAAATTCACGCAATTTAAACAGCCCATGTCGTCTGAATCTCTTGGAAATGATTTGTCTCTGATGTGGATCTTCACCGGTGATGTAAATTTTTCGTACGAAGAATATCATTCACGACGAAACGTCGGATTATTCGTGGTACAAGAGTCGACGATCCGCACTTCATTGTTCAGCTCCGAGTTCAGGACCTCGTTGATGAACCTTGTTGCCTGGTGTTCCCTGCTGCTGTCCCTGGACACCTGTGCCTGTCCTTGGAGCCACGCGCATCCTTGTCCCGCCTCTGCTTGCGACAATTGTGACTCATGTGACCGACGATTCTGCTGTTGAAACATCGAAATGACGGGTTCTTCTCTGTACTCTTGTTAGCTGGCTTTCTGGATGTTTACCTTTCTAACCGATCTAGTGTCCATTTATAAAAAGCGCCAATAATTCCTCGCGCTCGGCAGCCCGCCTGTCGTCTGCCTTCAAAATTCTCACCATATTTGTCAAAGTCCTCTGGTCGTTGGGTCTCGCCGTCCAGGCCTGCCGCAGACTTTCGTAATCGTCCAGTAGTATGTCCAACTGCTTTTAAATGAGCGACGACTCATCTGGCTTGACTCTCTGATGCTGTAACCGTAAGCGAGTCCCTCAAACATTGCAATGGGTGAAAAGAGTTCGTCTGTTGCTTCAATGCTGAAGTTGAAGAACTCAGCCTAAACAGTGTGAGCAGCCTGTTATTTTTGCTATTCGTAAACGGCAAATAATTTTACCTATGTCTCTCGTAGTTTCGCATATCTCGAACAACGACATACCTATATTTTCGATGGACTTGACAATGGTTTAACTAGCCGCTTTGTTCCATTTTCAACCTGGCATTGCATGCTGCCACCTCCTTTGCGTTAGCTCCTGCCTCCAGTTTCGTGATTTCTCCAATTCATATTTCGTACGTATTTTCATTTCATTCCAAAATATTCCTGATCACGAACCTCCATAGATTCCAGTTGTCTGTGCCTCGCAGCTTCTCCATCCCTTGGAATTTCATGCTGGCAACTGACGAAAATTCAGCACACAAGTGAAGCCGAGATTTATAATCTCTTTTCGTGTTTACCAACCACGCTCTGATACCATATTAATGTCAGTAAATAAAACATAAACACTCCTTCTATTAATATGGTTTATTGCTATAAAGTAAGTTCAATAGGTACTAAACAAAACTAATATAACACAAAACAAGTGTTATACATTTTCGCGAGAGCCAAAGAATACACAAGTCGCTCAATTCAAAAAGTGCGCAAAATACGAGTTGAAAGTAAATGGCTTTTTATTCAACAAAAATTTTAAATAATGAGAACTGTTGTGAAAATAACTCAAAGAAAAACTTTAAATTTTAAGAAAATGTATTTCTAAAGTTTACATATAAATTTTATTGTATACCAGTCTCAGCAGCAGATTTCCCCCCTCCCCTTCAACATATTATCCTGTAAACCAACAAATTTAAGGACATTAGACGCAATAGGACCTTATGTACACAAACTTTTAAATCGACGCAGTTCTACTTATTTTACTTATAATCATGTAGTCTCACAGACTTCATACGTTTAATTTACTTTATTGAGTAGGGGTTCAATATAATCATATGACTCTTTAGGATGGACGGAATGTGCGACTGGGGTTGATGCTAGACAGTTATTGTCATGTACGAACACTCATTGTACACTTCCCTTGCTTAAATTAATAAAGATCCTTCAATTGATATGCTTTAGACTCCGATCCTAATTTTTTTATGACGTATCATATCTCTACAGTAGATGGAAACGGCCGATTCCACAACACAACATCCGGTGTTGCAGAATCGGCCGTGCCTTATCTACCGGCTGTGGTCGCCGGATGTAAACAAAAACATCCGGTGTCAATGAAACCATCTGGTGTGAACATGCGGGTCAACATCCGGCGTCCACATCCGTTGACAACATCCGGCGCCAAGAGCCGGTGCGTCGGCAAGGCCGCGGAAGTGCGTAGGTCGCCTTCGCCAGCTGCTTGGGAGGTCGTGACGTCACGTCTCCAGCCTGACTGACTGCTTGCCTGCCTGCCTGCCTACCCTGTGTACCGACCTCTGCTAACGAAAACTAAGGGATGCAAAAAACGGGAGTGGGTAGAGGAATTTTTTTCCCTGCACGGTGGTGACAAAAGGGGAAAAATGATGACAAGACGAACAACACAGAGAGTAGGCTAGAACAAGTATTTATTGTTCATAATAATTTTTGATGATGTTTATACATTTTAAAAATACATGATGATGTTTGACACTGTCGTCGCACACACACACAAACACATATAGTTATAATCTGTCAGAAACATGTACTGGACGATTTTGTCTGAAATCGGATAACTCTTTTTTGACAACTTCACCGTTCGCGACGTCTTCCGCTGTCAGTCCTTGCTTATCCCTAATGGTAATGTCCGCGCCAACGGAGATGAGATACAGCACGGACTTGAGATGACCATGTCGCGCGGCGTGTCTCCGAAAATATCTTGACTGCGGAGAACATTGCGAAGGACACTGTCTTGAACCATGGTGTTGTAACTCGGGCTGCGATCGAGAGTGAACTGCCTGTCGTCGTTACTCGCTCTCTCGTTTTTCTTCCGTCCAAGACCGCTTCCGCTTTGTCCGTTTATGTTGACAGGATGTGTGACACTCTTTTGTCTCGTGTTCGTGGGATGTGATGGTGGATGGCGTTTCCGTCTCAGATTCTTCGACGGTTGGAGTGGGTAGAGTTTGAACATCTTTCTAGATGAATGACATACGCCTCCGCAGTCGTGTTTTATCAGATGGATTGCGTTTTGAATGGTATTGAGTCGATGAATCTTGAAGTTGCGAAATGAGATGATTCATGATGGGAAGAACTTCCGTATGCATGAAAACGGCAATGTCATAAATAGCTGTTCTTTTTCTTCATCGAAATAATACAACTGATTCATGTGAAGCTCCTTTGCGGTGTAGGCAGCATTCCATACTAAGGCGGAGATATCCCACAGCTTGGAGATTTTGTCTTCGGGACGTGAGGGCGGAGAGATCGTCTGCAGCCTTCACGATGTTACTCCACATTTTGGCTGCGTCACCCTTGCCATCCTCCGCTGTCGTCGAGGACATCTTCGTAGGCGAACCTCGCGGCGGCGATTTTCGCTTCACGTCTTGTCATGTTGCCGTGCGCTGACTGAATGGAGCGATGGTGAGAGAGATACACATCATTATCACGTTACAAAGATACGTCTTGCGGCTCATATCCGGAGGAGTATTTTCGTCTGGAGAGGGAAGGCGATGGATAACTTTGCGAATGAGAACAACACGTTGCTGCAGAGCCGCCTCTGTATTGGATCTCTAAAAGGACATCGACGAACTTCATGATGCCAAGTATTTCCGCATGCATGAAAACGACAATGTCTCGAATAGTCTTTTCGCACTCAATGTACGCTTTTGCGGTCTGTTCGTCGTGAAGTCGGCGCGCACTGATGGCAATGTCAGTTGCCATGTCGGAGATACCTTTCCATAGTTCCACGCTTTTCTCTTCAGCTTCCCTTTCCTCGCAGCGGCGACGACGAGGTCCACAGCAACGTTCTCGAGATTCTTCCACATCTTGCCTGCTTCGCTCTCCCATCCGCTGCCGTCTCCGTCACCATCAATCGTTTCGCAGGCGGTTGTCGTGTGAGGTCTTGCCATGTTGACGGTTGTCCCCTCTGAATGATGTCGTCAGCGGCATGTCATTGCAAAATGCTCGTCTACTACTACAACAACATTGTGAATGAATATAAATAGTGTTATAGTCTAGTCCTACAATGAAATAAATAATCATTAAAATAAAATAAATAATCTAATGTTCATCAAAGATAAATGTAAATAGCCTATTCTTAATTGAAAATAAATAATCAATGAAAAATAAAAAAATATAATCTATTGTCTACTCTACAACCCCGCCTGCAGGGACGAACGTGTACGCTGAAGGATCGGACGGACGCGTACAACAAGATGTGTGAAATGACCCCAGGGAAAACTGGAAAATTTATTTTAACCAATAGCGTTTGTCGTCTGCCACGCACAACGAACGCTTATTTTGCACAAAGGAATAATTTTGATGATTTTTAGAGCGAATGCAGCACTGTTTATCGACTCTATTGCAGATCGTGAAAAAACAGTCTAGACAATTTTGAAAAAGTGATATTTTTTAGCAACAGAACATTGGCACTCCCTTCGCTCTAGAAACACTGACCTGAGACCTAGTCAGAAAGAGTACATTTTGGGGCGTAACCACGGTATTCAACCATGGGAATGCATTTCCGCATGTCGTCCTTCAATAGTCCCAGTACTTTTTTATTGCGTGGTGTATGCGAAATATTATTGGGAAAGAAAGATGTGTCAACCATTCTGAAACGGATGATTCATCTCAGCGACACGTTCGTTGATGAAGAGATAATGAATGAATCTGTGTCATGTCAGAAGGTGAAGATCCGCGAAGATGTACTTTACAATATTTATAAAAAAATCGTACATTACTATAATTTCGAAATTTCTAAAATGCAAAAGCCTAAATATATGGCTTCGTGAGCTTCCATCTGTTTTTAATAATCCCTATAGTCATGAGATCGCCTGGATGTGTGATTTCGCACGAAAGCGGGATTTGCAATACGTTCTGGCCTTCTCTTTCCAACCATCTATTCAACAAGATTATGCGAGATGATTGGTTACGCTCTCCATCGATTTTCCATAAACGGAATTATTCATGTAGTTTAAAATATGCATCTTCAAAGGGGAGGACGCACGCTGCGTTCGTGAATTGTTAAGGTCCATGTATGATAGTAAGCCAGGACTTTGTTAAACGAAAAGGAATTGATGGATGTTGGTGAGCTTGAACTCCCAACTCCATTCCTGATTAAATGTGTGTATGAATGACATAGCGGCGCTTGGAAAGAGCGTCGCATTATAACTTGGCTTGCGTGCTTTTGTATCGGGAGCACACGTGACTTTGAACAAGAGAGGCAGTGCTCAATCGATCGTGAATCTCGTCTGATAGTCGAGGTCGACTTCGAGAACGTACCGCGATCGTGTCTGGTGGCCTCCTGCTTGAGGGATTGAAAGTTCGAATTTCGCGTTTCAGGAAACATGCTAAACTGTCCTGTGTGTCAGTAGATGTCTGCGTTACTGTACCCCAAAAGGTTATTTGCATCCCAATAGGAAGAGATAAGATTCCTTATCAGATGGATGAAGGGACACTCCTCCAGCGTGGCGGGTTGGCCTCGGCGTGGCGTCAGCTAGCCTGAACGAGCACTCCCTGAATGCCTTTTTTCAAAAAAGAGAACCATGTGAACATCCGTGAGGAGCTCCAATCGACACCAGTTTTTTGAGCATGGCGTTCACGAGAGCCCGGAGCGGGTGTAATGGAAGCGGGATCTAGACCGTACTCCTCCATAAACTAAGATTCTTAAATGCTT